GCATATAGAAGCTGATGTACTTAGTGTTAAGTGTTTGTTTAGAAGTGATCTAGTATTTACTAGGATAATAGATAAACACTGGCTATGTGGTTTCAGTGAGCGGATAATATCTTGATAGAATATTCCGTGACTATCCTCTTTAAACATCTTTTAAAGTTCACTAACCACTATCTTTTGATCATCAGTAGACTTCAGGCAGGTTCGTTAGGTCAGAAGTGGCTTCAGAGATCTGAAAAATTAGAACAAGTAGGACATGCCAACCCATAAGATGTTTCATAAACATGTGTAGGGCACATGGGGTCGTATCTGGACAAGAAGCTGAGGAGACTTGTAGATGTTTTTTACCTAGATCTAAAGAATCACCATTGATTTTTACGTTAAGGATCTAAACTCATATTTAATCCTGGAGCTGTCAAAAATGCATGTTCCTGTCCTACAAATTGGAATGATACACACTAGTGACCTCAACCATATCTGTTGATCAGCATGCGCCACTCTTTCCTTTTTGATGTTAGGATTCGAAATGTCTTGCTATAACTGTATTTTTGGCACTGCATAGCTTTGGACTCGTCACACTCATACAACAAACTACATATCAATAGCATTCGTGAAAAGTCCTTCCCATTAGATCACCAGACACATGGTTACATGAGGGCATTCTCAGTAATATTCCGGTAGGGGAGACCTAAGAATTCCATGTCGAACAAACAGGTGGAAGAGGTCAGCACAGACGAAACTAAGGAATTCACCAAAGAGGATGAACAAAGGAAACTATGGACTGATTACAACAAAGGACTCCTGAATCGACTACCATCTGAAACTCGCATAGGAATACTACCAACAGCCACCGAAGTGTCCGTGAAGACCAGTCTTTCGACAAAGTTAGAGACCTTTAATGTTATAGAGTTACTGGAAGACAGCCAGAGAAACAGCCGAACCAGACGCAATTCCTCTATGAGCAGTGAAAACGAACTCAGAGGACTTCAGGCAGGTTTTTGATTTGGTAGTCAAGGGTAGTCAAACACAGAAAGGGCATCCAATGCTCAACAGATAAAGGATGCCTGACAAATTGTAAGGAAGAAGTAGTTTCTACTTGGTTACTCGTTACACTCTTCTTAGTCCTATAATCACTTGCTTTCTCTAATTGGCTATGGCATACTGTATTTTAGAAGCCCCAAAGGCCATAAACTGAGAGCTACGGCACAATAACGTTGTGCATCTGTTCTCAGTTTCGGATCCGTATTGGTAATAGACAAGTATTTCGCTGAGTCACCAATGAAATGTTCCCCACTTTATGCACATCTCTCGCGGGGTTGAAACTAGAAGACTGCTTTCACTCACTGCCCAAAAGGGGACTGATACATTCTGGAAATCTTCAGAAGAAGGCTGAACATATGATTCATAATATGACTGATCTATAACACATTAAACCTCTTCTCATTTTAATAGCGTAGTCAGAGATCTGATTGCTTTTTCCAAATCTTCAACAAATGACTGTAGATCTAGTTTGTCTTCTCTTTTGCCCTCCATAAGGTAAGAACCCCTCGAAAGAAATGAAACGATGGAGGAACTATTTCGCCACAGAGTACGAAATTTTTCGTGGAGAAATCAATTCTTGGAACTGACTTCCAGGGGAAGTGGTCTGCAGTCCCAACCGACTGTTTCGAGAGGGTATTAGACAGGCCCAGGAAGCTATTAGGAAGGTATTTAAATAGGTGCGAAGCCTTCCACTCCCAAACAAATATTTGAATCGCCTGCAAGGGTCTTTCACCACAAAAGAAGAGCGACTACTGCTCAGACACCAAGGACGCGACTACCGTCATCGACAAAACAATGCATGTTCCCGATGCGTCTCTGTCAATGAGTGAGTGCTCTTCAGCTCAGAGGAGCATCCACCATATTCCAGACACCCACGCTGCCCCCACGATACCGGACAGGCCCTCCAGTGACAGTGGTGGAAAGACTGATGCGAAGAAGATAGGTACCGGGGGTCGAAAACCCGCAGCTGAAGTCGTACAGGGACTTGTAGATCGAGTCTGATCAACATCGGTGGATAGTAGACAGACACAATCGACCATGGTTAGCGAGGACGACGCCAACGAATGGCGTAATGTAGTCTCCCGCAAAAAGAGAAAAAAGACACCATAATGGCCATACTGTCCATGAAGGACGAAAAGAAATTTACGCCGCAGAGCAAAAAAGTCATAACACGAAAACCTGATCCTTCTGACAGGTTGCTCGTTCTCCACAAAGTAAAAGGGTCACTGGCCCCCGACCCCAGGGCCAGGTCCGAGCATGACCTTAGCTTGGCCAAGCCCCTTTATAGATGAGCTACTGCCAAAACAGTATCAGGCATAACAACACACAGCGCATATAGAATCGGCCAAAAGCCTGACTGACTAAACCGCAAAGGAGGTGGCGTAGTCATCATCAAGAAATCCTTAACCGTGCGTAACATCAAAGCGCTTGCGCACGAAAGTGAATCGTGCGAACTTCTACTCTGCAGACTTAAATTCAAGGGCCAGGACATTAACCTCATTGCTATGTACCTCAGTCCTGACTGCAGTGCAGATGACTTCCTAATAGAGAAGCTAGGCTACTGGACCTCAAAATAACTAAGTCTCGTAGTCGGTGACTTCAACACCCCAACAGTTAACTGGACGAGCCTTACAGTGCCATCTTCAGACAACTCCTTTGATCATAAGCTGCTGGAACCTATCATTTCGCTAGCCCTAGTCCAACATATTATTAAGCCCACGCACTATGACTCACAGCACTCCTCCTCACCTCTCCCACAATGGGGATGTGGATCTCATACATCTTCCTCCTTTATGAAGAAGTGATCATGTTGTGCTCACTTTCAAGATCACAGCAACGGCAGCAAGTGCCAAAAACCCAGCTCCATATAAATGCGATCGTCTCAGCAGTCAACTCAGTAAACAGGTACATCAACTCAGGGTCCCAAGTAGAAGCCCCATGGAACCAATTTGAACAACTTTACGCCCAAGTAACTGAACCTTGCATCCCCTGGTCTGTCCCAAAGGGTCGGAAACATTGCCCCCTTGGATAAACTGAGATTCGTAAGTTACTCGGATGTAAACACAAATGTCAGAACCTGTTTGCCACACTTGAGACTCCTGAGACCAGAAAATTATATAACACTGCTAGGAACAAAGTTACTGAAGAAATCCGCCAATCATATATATGGTTGGAAGCACATCTGCCTCAAAATGCAATGGCACAACCTAAGAAAATTTTCTCATACATTAGCTTCAAGAACAAAACATTCGATGGTGTCCCAAACCTGACTATTAGCAATGACACAATTGAAGAAGATCAAAAAAAGCAGAAGCTATGGAAGACTACTTCTCCCAAGTCTTCTTACAGGAGTCGTCACTCCTTATAGGATCAGCTCTGGCTGCATCAGAGGAACACGGGATAGATTCTGTTGACGTCAACCAAGACATCGTGCTCAACCGCCTAATGAAACTAGATGTATGGAAATCAATGGGTACCGATAATCTTCATCCAAAGCTTCTCAAGGAGCCATCAGCTGACATAGCCAGCCCATTGACCACGATCTTCAAGCTTCTGCGTGACTGGAAAGACGCCATAATAACCCCTGTCCACAAATGAGGATAAAGACAAAGTCGTTCAAATTACAGGCCTATTAGTCTCTCCAGTACTCATCAAGACACTGGAAAGAATCATCAAGAAAAGTATCATGGGATATCTGGAAAACAACAAAAGTTATCCAGAACACAGCATGGCTTCCGAAAAAACCTCTCATACCTGTCAAATCTCATCACTGCAAGAGAAAGCTGGGACAACAGAAGGCCCCAATGACGTCTTCTTCATAGACTTCAGCAAAGCTTTCGACAAAGTTCCTCACAAAAGACTACTCATGAAGTTGGAAAGTCTTGGTGTCAAACGCAGGTTACTAAAGTGGCTTAGAGAATCCCTCATAGATAAGAGGCAGAGGGTTAGGATCAACTCAAAACCCTCCTCTTAAAAAGCAGTGGTTAGCAGAGTGCCACAAGGCACGGCAATCGGACCTCTCCTATTTATTTTGTATTTCAATGAGTTATCTCTGCTCACGGATTCCCCGATGGTCCTATACGCAGATGAATTAAAAATCCGGAGAGAGCTGAAGGGCAACAGTGACACGCACATGTTGCAAGAAGACCTCAACAAATTGTCAGTGGTCCAGAAAATGGATGCTCCCGATCAATGTAGCAAAATGCGCAACCATGCACATCGGATAAGCAAGCATCAGCTCTTATGAACTAGGGGGAATAACACTTCCATCAGTTCAGACTCACTTGGAATTAAGTGTCATAGTCAGCCACGACTTAAAAACTACAACACACTGTCGTGCGGTGGCTGCACGCAGTTTCAGGTCCTTATGGGCAATTCGTAGAGCCTTCACTAGAATCACCAGAGATATGTTCACCTCTTAATATGCATCTCTGGTCAGGTCAAGACTGGAAAACTGTATCGAGGCAGCCAGTCCTTGTCTTAGAGGGGACTCACACATTCTAGATAGGGTTCAAAGGAAGGCAACATGTATGGTCCTCGACATGACTAATTTATCATATGACGAAAGACTAGACAGTTTAAACCTCTTCTCTCTGTCATACCGTAGGCAGAGAGGAGATTTAATCACAATGCTTAAAATTTTAAATAATGACTACGGATCTGACCTGTTCTCTCTTTTCCTTCTCACCAGTTCGGAACATCTGAGAGGACATAGCAGGAGAGTTCAAAAGCCAAGAAGAAATCATATTGCTGTTGAGTACTGGTTCTCATGCCGAGTCATAAACTCTTGGAACCCACTCCCGGAAGAAGTGGTGTTTGAAATCTCAACTGATTCATTCAAGAAGGGTCCACACAACCACAGAAATTTACTAGAAAAGGATTAACATAGTCTCCAAGTCTTCTCAACCAATAAATCTGAATCTAAACACACACTGGATTGACGTCCATTCTCACTAATACCGATGTGTAAGTAGTTTTCTTAAGCTTCAAATTGTTAACTCATTATAAATACTGAAAAGGTTGTGTTCCCACCTTCATGATCTGCCCATTGAACAGCTTTAACCGCACTTCCAAATTGCGTACAAGCTCAAAGATACTCTGGCGCCTTTTACCAAGATCAGCTGTCTGTGTCAAAATGGCGCAACCAAATGGTTATGATAAACTAGCAAGAGATTTTGATAGCTACTGGTTAAAGTTTTACAAGAGCAGTTGTCTGTCTCCGAACTTTCAAAGACTTCCTAGGTGTTGGAATGGTAAGGATCGCTCGAAATCACTGAGATTGACACATTTCGCCCTTACCGTGTCATTTAGTAGCGGATTTAATGAGCGTCATGGTATTTTAAAGCAAACACTTAGTTATATTTCTTTCCAGATACTAGTTACACTGGTCAGGAAGCAGCTTCTGTTCGTTCTGATGCTCCCATCCCGTTGACAGCTGGCATATATTACTATGAAGTTACTGTGCTTTATCAGGGTACCACTGGGTAAATATTTCTTATCATTTAGCCTAGTCATTTTTTAGTTGTGTATCTGTCGGCGTATCAATGAAAACTTCCAGCCTCAACAAATTTCCAGGTAAGTCGTCATTTTGTTTTGGCGTTCAAACCAAGTACCTGATATTACCTGCTTTCTGGCCAAAAGTATAGTGCCACTATTTCGACGAAAACGTTCCTTATATTCTCAAAACTCCACGTCTCTGCAGGCAAGATAAACTTCTCTGTAGCGACGAAGTATTATGCTCTCAGTGATATTAAGTTGTGAAGTATGGTCTGACACCACATAGAAATCACAAAGTCCTTAACTGCTGTAGCTGGCATAATTACGAAGTATATGGTGTGGATTTGCTAATAAGTGGTAGACCAACAGTCAATACAAACCCTCTACAGAAAACTGTACCTTCTCTCTCCCAATGACTCCTAGCGTTCCATATTACATCGCATTGTATTGCAACCTTTTTTTAAACTCTGCATAAGGGTAGACGTGAGAACTAAATCTACTGAAACCTATTTCGTTTAATCCGTGGTTCGTATTTAAAAAAACTATAGCGATATGACGAAATCATAAAATAGCAGCCACTCCACTAACTTTATTTGCAGTATCAGGTCGAAATTCCATTTGAAGGCGAGTATACAGTGTACTAGTACATTAAAGTCACCTGCAATAAGTACCATTATTTATTTTACCTTTGTGTTGACTTGATAGCTTCATCTTAAGTCTAGTCATTGATTATTTTGTAGTGCTACTTTAAGCTGGTCAAAACTTAACAAGTACTTAATGTTTACTTAACATATCCAGATTGCTGAAGAGATACAAGATTCGATCAGCGTCTTCACTCAAGATATATATATATATAAATTTATATGCTCTGAACTAACCACTTTCCTTCAACGCCAAAGTAAAGAAACCTTTATAAGTTTGTCTATGAGAAAGTTAAGGAATAGCATTATAATTATCCTCTGCGTACTTCGATCCATTCCCGTACAAGTATCAGTCTTTTTATGCTACTTTTCAAAATATGTCCCGAATACTATAGGTTATTACAGACACTACAGTTTGGACCAATCTGTAAAATCAATTTGTTGTTGCAGATATTACGGTTTAAATGTTTGGTCCAGAGCAAGATTCGATCAGTATACGTACACATAAAAATTAAACCAAGAGTCGATGGGAAAGTTACTCAGCCACTCTGTTATGAGTCACTTTCCTTATCCAAGGAAACGGTATAAAGTAATCATTGCTATATAACCCGACCTGTTCTATCAGGTTCAGGCTGCAAACCTTATGTGAATTTCCCTGCAATACGAATGCTTACACCCTTATATGTACTGCGACGATCGAATCTGTGTTATAAGGCATTTTCTCACCCTATTTCTGTGTTATAACTTTTCTGAATTTAGGTTCTGAAAATAGTTCTTTTGGTTATCAAACGGATGGTTACGTGTATCATGGGTCTTCAAACTCAACTACAAAGTTGGGACCTCGTTTTGGGGAAAATGACGTCATCGGTTGTGGAGTTGATTTTCTTTCTCATAGTTTGTTCTTCACACGAAATGGTGTCTTTCTGGGCAGAGCCTTTGAAGGGAAATTGCCGGTAAGTCCCTTACCTATACATGTGACGTTTACTTCACATTCGAACGCGTATGGTGTCGTAGTTATGCACCAAATATATGAAACAATTATACAGAGCAATTGGTTATATATGACTTATTATAACATACTGCTGCCATTAGTCCCATTTTGTGACATGAATTTCAATCTAAACCAACAGTAAAGGTGAAAAATAAAGAAACGAAAAACCCCAGTCACCATGAATCATAAAAACCTATTAAGTATTAAAAATTTAATTAGAATATAGTGAAAAAGCTCTTCATAATATTGTAGATCTCCAATTCATCACGTTATATTATTTTAGGATACTTTCCGAAAACTAACTAATCCGTCACCTTTTTAGTTATACTAACTGGTTGAAATAGTGAATAACTGTCTTTTTTGTAGGTTGGCGCTGGTACACGTTTGTTCCCCACAATAGGATTACATGGTCGTGGAGTTCGTGTGTCAACCAACTTCGGACAACAGCCTTTTCATTTTGCTTTTGAAAACCATCTTAAAACAGAACGCATATCTCGTGAAAACAAACTAATTGAGCTCACATGTAAAGAAGAGTTTGCTGGGATTAAAATAAAGGAGTAAGCATTCAAGATGTTGGTAACTAAATGATCATTACTTAGCACAGTTAATGCAATTGTTTTTCTAGTGTGTGGGACTTCTAGCTACTTTGATACGCTTTACTTTAGTGCTTTATTTTAGTGTTAGAAATGTTCAGAAGAATGACACGAAACAAAATCATCCAATTGTCTTGGCAGTTAAAACATTGTCGCCAGCGGATGTGCACTGTACCTTTTCTCAGCATATCTTTGTAAAGATCTTCCTTAGATTCTTTAGACTGGTGTGCAAATAGTACGTTACTTAAGTATATTAGGCGGTTAACAGCCATAAAATACTGTTTAGCTGCTATTTCGTGCCTGTTGCTTAAATATACTTTAAGACTCACAATAGTGAATTATGAGTGATAAGAGAAATAGTAGTGGTCTTTTGAGAGAACTTGGGTATTTGTTTCTCTGCAGAAAATAATTCAAAATATGTTTGATTCTTTTTATTTCAGATTTCGTGCTTGTTGACCGTAATCAGCAAAAAGTATCTTCAACCTAGGTTTCTAAAATCCTGTCATCACTAGTAAAATGATATTGGTTACTTGCTAGTGATATAAGGGATCAACTAATCACTGAATAGCTGTATAAATCTTGTGATTGCAGCATTGGGATACATTAGTTCAACCCTTTGGATGGATATCAGTCCTTTGGAGTTATATATACCTCCAAAGCCTCAGAATGGTCGGGGGTGAGTGCCTTGCGCTGCGGGTTGGCCACCCCTCCGCACACCTCTTGAAATGCTCCCATATGACCGGGCGTCTTACATAGCCTCTCCTGAGGAAGTCCTACTCACTGCCTTCACGTGGCAGAGGTGTTTTTCACCAAAGTGAGAGGGCGAAAGCGGATGCCCGGCACTCTTCACCGGGTTGACTGTCCATTGGATGACAGTCTAGGGGAGATGGCTAAACCCTGATTCCAAACCTCCAATGACTGGCGTATAAAACTCACTGGAGCTCACCGGCAGACGTATGGACAAAGGGCTTGTTGGATTTCCTGGATGTCTGGCCCCATTCAAAAAGGCGTATGAACCGAACTCCGGTCACCGGCTGCCAATGGATAGTGGACTCCCTACTCCACTCCTACTGCCTTGTAGGTCACACTTGGTTGTGTAAAGGCTAGAGCTGCACTCGCAAACAAAAGGCCGAGCGATTCTGGGGCCATCACTCGTACCAAATTCCCATGAAACTTCATGAACTCTCTTCATCAGATCGCCGCGCCTGGGCAGCGATGATTCGAGGTGTTCATGAAGCCGGCTCATCCTTCCGTAGGAGATAGCCGAAGTAAAGTAGAGAGAGTAGAGATATATCCCATTTGTTACTAAGGGTCACCAATCGTGAAATCTGATTGTTTTTAGTCGTCTCACATTAATCAAAAGTACCATGTATTGGCCAATTATCTGGCCTAGTATTGGCATCCAGGACTACAAAATACTCATGACTCTGTTTTCAGTTGATGGGATTTCCGTGATACATTCAGAGTTAGATCTCACCTGCCCGGTAATGGGTTATACGCCACACTTATTGTGTGAGGGCTGCTGATACTACCAATATACTCAAACTGAAGTTGGTGGGTTGGGACCTGAGTGAACATCCAGCGCTTACGCCTATGCTCTACTTCTACTTTCATAAACTATCTATTTAGAGTTTCATATACATGGACCTGCAGTGTAGTGTTTTATAAGCGAGCATATCTGTGGTATTTTGATTCATGTTATTTCTAGTGCTTGAGTGACGTACAAACTGCTTTAATTTATTCAGTAAGGTAAACCACAATATATCGAAATGTGTTAAACTTGATTTTTTTGTGTTCAACATAAAGATTGCTTTACATTCAACCTTATATTAGATTGAGTTATTTTATGGTCTCATAGACTTGTTTCTGGATACCTCGTCCATCATGGTTACGTTGCCACAGCCAAGGCATTTTCTTACTGGTCCAATCTTGCAACCTCTGTTCAGAATTCCGAAGTTCAAACTAATGAGATTCCAGCCCAAAATGAAACTTCTAGTCGACCAAACTTAGTTTCTAGTTCCTCCGAGACGAATGTTGATATGCATCAAGATGTTACTAACAAGGAGTCTAACCTTCCTGCACTTCAGCGCCGCCATAGTGACAGCTCGTGTTTAACTCCAGCCAATGGAAACTCTCACTTGGGGAACCAAATTCCAGGCATTGCAAGCATGCTGCATCGAAGACGATTACGAGCTCTATGCCGACGATGTCAGTATGGGAAAGCTGCCGCTACTTTAAATCGCTTATACCCTCAAGTTCTTGAGCGATGTCCGGAATTGCTTGTTCAACTTCGTTGTCGACAGCTTATTGAAATGGTAAGTTTGTTCTCATACTGTTTGGTCTCTAACACTTTCTCTACAACGTTATTAAACTAATACTATTCGGGGTTATACGAAATTCGTAACGGATGAAGAATCATAGCAAGCTAAAGGCTTGCACAGTAATTCACCAACTAAATTTGCTATATTTTGAAACAGTAGAAAGTGAAACTGAAGAGAAATAAAGAGATGTTAAAACAAATTTTAAAAAATAGCAGAAAAGGCTAGCTGACAAAGATGTTAAAATGTTCGAAGATAAAGAAGAGTGAATATATTTACGTCCCGACAATTAGTCGGAAACGGTGTCGCAGAATACCTTTAACCACACATTTCTGTGTCACGATTTTAGTTACTGACAGTTATCTCTACCATGAATAATGACAAAAATATATCACAGAAAAGGAGTATTCTTACCTCTTCTGAGATTGTGCATGTATGGGAAATTAAAGTTAATTGACACGTGAGGCTTCATTATGAATCAATATCAGTTGTAAAAACAATGGACAACAGAGTTCCATCTTTGCCAAAATACTCTCCAATACTGAGTGATATTTCTGTTTTCACGAGTTAAATCATTGAAATTCAGATTTTCGTACTACGGTATCACCATGTTGACCTAACAAGCCATAATCTAGTAGTTAGTTCCGTCACATAGTGCAAAGTACCCATAAAAATACCATGAATGCTGGTTTGATAAAGTTTTTGTTTTATTCTTGTAGACGTGGTTAACCAATGTTGATCACACTATATAACTCATGGAAATCGAGTTGTGTGTGTATGTATGTGTACATGTGCGACAGGAAGATTCCTTAAACCAAACCTGTTAATTGTGTTTAACTATTATCTTTCGTTGGGAAATGGCGAATAGGGATAAAATGGGACAAAGCAGTGGTTCATAGAGCAGCAAAATCATCAATTTCTGAAAACATAAATGTAACTAACTGTTCGTTCCAGTTCCAGAAAATGAACTTAGGTTGTTTAAAAGTGGCCGTCTTACAGATTAGAACATATAAACAGTGGGAAATTTAATACCATGCCTCCTGTATACTAGCTATCAGGTCGTCTATCTCCGGTAAAATAGCATTTCGGTCGTCTGCAAAATCAGAAGTTCTGTGAGACTCTAGATGAAAATATACAACATAGTCACTTGTCATTCTACTTGCAGATATCATAATTCTTACATTGATTATGTAGATGCGTCGTCATGCCGTAAGACGTGGTCGCAGTCAAGCCTCCAATTCAGGAAGTGAATTTAATGACGCCAATTCAACTACAGCTCCACCAAAAGTACAAAGAGTATCTGGTTCACTTCATGTTGGCTCAGGATGTTGTATTACCGACAGACAAGATAAATCATTGCAAGATACATCATCTAGTCCAATTCAAACGGTACGTTATTTTATTGGTATTTTTGCATCAATTAAAGTACATCAATATTCAGGCACAAGTTGTTCTACTAATCATTCGCGTAAAAGAATGATGGCTTCATTTTAATTTTATAGTTTTGCCATCGGCTAGAGAAAACAGAATAAAAGCAGTAGTTGCTTGGTGTAAAGTGGGGCAAGTAAAGCCAAATATATAGAGCCACTAATGCAAATGAAGTGGTTTGATTTTACTTATTTACACATATTTGGAGAGGAGTGTTGAAAATATGACTCGAAATATTAATATCTAACTCATCACACAACAACAGAAAAAAATGCAGTATTATCTGTGAAGCCAGGGGAAGAGATAAGTTAGGTAAAAGGTTGAGGAGAAAAAACAGCTTGGAAGGAACAATCATTGTATTATTCTCCAAAAGCTGTTGATCCAATAAAGCTAAATGAATGAGTAAAGTTCTCTTTCGGTGGTATATATTCTCAGTTGATGCAGTGAGCGAATAAAAATAACTACCCGTTTTCATAATTTCTCCCTTACCTGATAGCTGGGCATAACCCATGAGGACTGCAGTGAAATGGTATTCTGGTTAGCTGTTGGGTCTCTTAATTAAGCTGGTAGAGTAACGGACGAAAAATTCCAGTGACTGCTGGTTCGAATCCTCCTGCACTTCAGAGTTGCACTTCACCTTTATCCATTACCCGTCGCATTCTGCAGATGTGTTTAGAAAAATGAAGTGTCTTTTATATATCTATCATATCACTGTACCTCTTTTGGCAACCTTACTTGAATTTGGATTACATTGGTGTTAGTTGGGCACATGCGGAGTTTTGCCTGAAAATTTATGGAAAAATAAGAAATCCGTTCTAACACGAAATATCTTAGCCGCTTGTTAACTTTTCTTTGTATACGTCACCGGCTTTTTTCTCAACGCAGACTTTGGAATATTTGTTGTTGTTGCTGCTGTTATTTAATCACTTCTTGAGGACAACTAATCTGTCTGTTTTTGTTCTAAGTATACATTTTAGTTCCGTTTAACAATGTTTATTAGTTTAAATACTATCAAATACGTGTCTTAATGATGATTTCTGTACTGTTAACTTAAAAAGCGTAATGCTGAAGATATTTAAAATGTCAAGAGAAGCATTATCTAGTGCTGCCATGTAGTCTATCTGCGTTTCATCTTCTAAACTGAAACTATATAGGAGGTGCGTACGTTTGACACTGATTGTGTCCCATGTTTGCTTGTGCTCAAATTGACATGTTTTAATGCCTATTCTAATTGCGCTAATTACACCGTGACACAGTGTTCTCTGTTGTTCACATGTAATGCATTTTTTACTGTTGTGTAGTGTAATAATTTGTAAGCCAGTTATACTCACGAACTGTCCTTACTGTTATTGTCGATTCGTCAGTTTCAGGTTATTCAAAATCTGGTTTTAACACAGTTTTTTTTTAATTACCTCGAAAATTGTTGAATTGAACCAAAATGCGCGCATACACCTCGGAAATGCTTGTTTTTATACCTATCAGCTTTTATGAACTAAAAGACTTTTTAAACTATTGCCAGAGTTATGTTTTTTATTTTGCTTCGTTTTTTAAAATAAAATAATTTTCATGTCTTTTCTATAATTAGATTTGTCACAGATAGATATGGAACAAAGAGAAACTTCTTTATGAATTTGTCTAAAAGATAACTTGAGTTTAACTAGCTGATTTTTGTGACGTAACAGAGTAATGAGTTAAAGTTGAAACGAAAAGCTCTATTTCAAATAAACCTTTTGGAATAATTTTCCATTCTATCCTACAAATTATCTAATTGTTTGTTTATTCAGACTGTTGAAAATGGCACGTCAATCTCGTCAATGGAAGTGGATTCAGAAGATGTGTCAAAGGCATCACCTCCAGAAGATGCACAAAAAGTAAAAGAAAAAGATAAAAATGAACAAAATTCCAATATGGTGACAGATTTTGATGATGATTTGGAAACAGGTGATCTTGAAGACGATGAAGATGATGACGGTTTTGGTGTAGATGACGATACAGGGGTTTGTATTAGTAATCTTTTGCCAGCTTCAAATTTAAAAGCCTGCCATTCTGATAATCAGTCTTCTACGCCTTCAGGAATGGATGTTGACAGTGATTTATCATCTGCAGAATCAAAACAAAAATCAACGAAAGATATGCTCAATGCTACGTCGACTAATTCAGAGGTTGAAGATCATGATGAAATGAGGTGTTTGTTAAGACATGTCCAGTTTGGTCGTTCACTTGTAAATTTGGTAAAACAAGTGAGAGCGAAAACAGGTGGCTTGTCTTTAGAAACTGAACGTTTACTGCAGGTGAGCTGGTTATTGAAAGCTTTGGTTACTTCGATCTTTCAGCATCGTAAATAGTTGCACTTTCTACTTTCATTTTGACATAATAGAACTAGTCTCATTCGAACAGTTTTTGCAGATATCCACTTATAGTCAAAATATCACATTACTCCTTAATTTTCCTCACTTGCATTCAATCCTTTTAAGATAATGTAGGTCAATTTAAACCGTGTTATTCTTCTATCAGGTATTGTGTGGTGCTGGGTGATTAACACCATCCCACTCTAACTTATTCTACTGGGAAATTGATCAAACATACATATCCTTACCTAGCCTTCTAGACTGCACCAGTCAAGTGGTATTTCATTCCTGATACTATACCATACGTATTTATTATTCTATTCAGAATCTGTCTTTGAGCAAAAGAGAAGCAATGCCTTCAAGAATTCTAAGTTTTTTTTTAGAAAACGCATTATGCAGGACACAGTGAGTAGTATGTATTTTCCTCCAGACACGAGACTTGGTCTTACGGATCTCCAGATTGTCACCGCGGCACATATAAACGCCAGAGTATTGGTGTTTCAGTTTCTATTGCTTACACGGCTAGCTACAATTGCCAAACTCAGTAGAGGTTTGTATAGGGAAGTAATCGTGTTGATGTTCATTGTAAAAATGCTACTTAAATACAGTAATTCAAAATCTATTTGATGGAATTGCAATGAAATGCTGATGTAATCTTTCTAAGGGAAGGAAAGCTTGTGCATCAACAATTCCATTTCCATGCAGTTGACGATGAACCAAACCTTTTTTCTGTTGGTTACCTGATAGAGTTCGAACCCATACCCCAGTGGTTGGTAGTCAACACCATAGACCAGTATGCCACCTTTCTTTGAATGCCTCAATTCACTATCTCTCCAACTCATACTAATGTTATTAGGTGATGAAATATTTATTTTATTTATTAGTGCAAATTTGTGACCATTTCCTTGTATAAGCTCTTTAGACCAGTTAGTCAAGTGTGAAACATTAAAATTTCTCCTTTGAATTTCACTGTGACACTCTAACAAACGTGTATACGTCTGAATTGATCTGATTGTAATTTTTCTAATTAAAATATTTATTAGTTACAATACTGGAACTCTTCTTTTCCATTTTTTTTATTCAGCAATCTGTTAGCCTATTGGCATATCCATCACCTACATCCAACGATTGTCCATTACGCGGTTTGCTGGATCCGGTATGGCGAGATACTATAGCTAGCATTATCAACAGTGCTGTTTTAAGTGAGTTTATTGTTTCAAATGGAATGCTGAAATATCATAGCAGCATTTTTTTCGCTCCTGTATCACAGGCTTTAAAATAAGCGGATATGTTGATGTTCAGTTATACTGGCTAAGGTAATACATAATTTATCAAGTGTTGGTTTCCAGGGGTTTGACCGGTCACGAGTTGACCACAGCCATAGAAAACCACTGAAATACCTGGGATTACCTTGACATCTGTTTCTTCCTAGTTTGAGAAGTAACTATTCAGCGGTACGCACCCGCCACGGCTGGTTGAACGTAGGACCTTCCAGTTACTAGGCGAGCTCGTAGACTATTCAGCCGCTGTGAGACCCAATGGTTCTACTGGCCCTCTAACTTATGTCAACTCGTGATCAAGCTGGTAGTGTATAAATCGAAAGTTAGTGAGAAAAACTGCAACGATCAAGGGCAAAACCAAAGTGTAAAAGGAACACATGAGTGAATGAATAAATGCAGGTTTAACTTTATTCACAAAAACTCTAAGTACATCTCGAAATGAGAAATGTCAATGTGTCAAACTAAATGCATTGCACTTTTTCAATAAACAACACAATAAGAGTAATTTAAAGTGTTATGACTTCGCCAAATAAAGTGAAGTAAACCAATTCGTACAATTCTTTCCTTTTCCACCATCTTCAACTTAATTTATCTGAGTAAAAACACATTATTTGGCTTATTTAAAACAAGACTATTTGATCATTCTAAATGTGAGTCATGTAGTCTTCTCAGAACACAAAGTTTACCATCCTGTAAATGATCAAGTTATGAATGATAATGATGTGTTTGTTTAAAGTGGTAACTGACATTGCATAACTAACTAACTAATAGTGGATAAGCCTATGTTAGTAAATCTAGTCAAACGAGAAGTTCGTGATTTTAGTGAGGAGGATTTCAAGAAACTCTTTTCATCTGCCGAGAATTGATTATCGTATTTCCAAGCAAACGATTGGGAAATTTTTTATATCATGCCTCTTATCTTACTAGATTTATGAATTTTTCTCCAAATGATGAGATTAGTGTCAGGATTCACTGGCGTCACTATTATACCTCATAATTAGTTGCCACTCAGATTGACAAGTATCTCAACATAACTGTTATTCTCCAGTTAAACAGTGTATATTAAATAAACATAGTGTGAAGTTGAAGATAACAGAAATACTGTAAAATCAACTAACAAGTGTTATGCTTAGTTGCAGTTATTATGATTACTTCTTATGTTTTCTTTTTTTCAGAGGCCCATGATCTGCCTGCTCAACCAGCACTCGAACATGGTCTTCGTGCTCTGCAACGTTGTTTTCAGGATAAGGATTTCGTTGAAGCTCAAACATTAGGTCACTTTCTTTTGTATCACTTAACACCTGCACAGATCGCGAAAGCAGATGAAGAGGTTGCAGCAATGGAGGCTTCTGCACAGCACCAAACTGGGAAGCGTTTAAGGTCTTCCGCTTCACAGTCCAATGAAGATCAATCCCATGAAGTTGACGGAAACACATCGTCCGGCTCTCGTACTGTCGAAGTCAATGGTCATAAAGGTATCCGCCGAAGGGCTCGTCGTCGAATACGAAGACAAGCTGAGGGTACTGTCTCAGAAAGCCAGTCTTCTGAACACACTGATGAATGTAGCTCTTCAGTTGAAGAAATCAATAAAGACGAGGAAGAGGATGATGAAGACGAAGAATGTCATTGTGATTCTGACGATGACGATGACGAATTTGATAATGATGACGAAGAAGATGGAGGATCAGCTGTTCGTGGTCGCCGACCTCATACACGTAGTAGGCAAAACGCTTCAGGTGGAGAGCAAAATGATGGCGATACCTCCGAGGGAAGAGGTTCAAATGGAGGCAATTCTGGCAGAGTTCATTCTAGTAATTCTCCGAATACCGCTTCACTGACATTACTTGACGCTATGCGATCTTCACCGATTAGTTTCTGTCCAGGTAATCGGGCTTTATTCACTAGATACATTTCTCCACTCCCAGCAGATTCTATTGGTACACCAAGGGTAACTAATATTTCAGCTGCTTCGATTCCGAATCTTCACCGTTCAACGGAACCTAGCCATCGTCTTACATTGTCAACTACCTCCGCTCGAAACGATAACAATCAACCATGCAGACCTGATACAGACGATAGCCATCTGGATTCTGCTTTCCGAGGTCTTCTTTCTATGTCATATCCTCAGCATGCTGAGTTTCTTGCTGCTATGGATGATGCTTTAAAAGCATACGCTGGATCCCTTTTGCTCACTGATGATGAACAAATTTTCACATCTAACCCTCAATATCAGCATCCACGAGGTGACCCTCCATCACCAGCAGGTGGCGGTGCTTGCGCTTAAATTATTGAGATAAATACAAAAGACAACAACCATCAGGGCTGCGTATGGTGGTCTTAAACACTATTCGTTCCAATATTTACTTACACTGGAATTTTAAATATTGTCTAATATATATACTGGAGTAATCCGTTTTTGCCTCAATATTCCACATTTACTCTTTAGAATCTTGTTATACAACTATATCTATTCTATCTGTACAGACTAAATAATTCTCTTATCAACTAGTCAAATACTCTGTGGATTATTCTGTTCACAGTGAGGAGTGTTGTTTTGTTTTGCTCTCACATCACACATACGCATTAGAGGTGTTTCTATTTCCATCCGAACGTACAGTTGGCTAGTTTGGTTAGTTGTTCTGGTTCGCTACTCCTCTTTCAAATTGTATCGCATCATTCTGTTCAACTGTAAACGGTGCTTGAATACATTGAATGTGTCGATTGAATCAATCATACAGAGAGAGATATAAGGGGTATAATCCTTATTGTTTGTTATTCAGATACACTGTTCCTTTGCTAACAGGTGTGTGTGTGTGTGGTCAATGGGATAATCTTTAATGGTATGTGCGTGTGTGTATGTATGTATGTAACGTTTCTACGATAATTGTACACTTCTAGTGTATTGTAAGATTATTATAATAAGAGAGGGTGGTTTTGTGTTTAGTGTTAGTTTCAATCTACTTGTGAATTTTCAATTCTTTATCTAATTTTTAACGTAACCCAGTACAGGTTACAACGCAAGAGATGTTGATGTAGTAGTTTGCCTAATTATTAGTAGAGTTTAACAGCCGATCATTGTATACATCCCACATGTTTGTTTGAGTGTATACAATTTGGTTATTTTCTCTTTTTTCGTTTGTTAGTTTTTGTTCGTTAATCTTTCCCTTCTACATCTTGCTCCTCCTCTTCTTCTTCTTCTTCTTCTGAACCGATGGTTGTAAACAAATTGTTTGTGTTGTTATAATATACATCAGAATTGTGTACTGTTTTGCATAATTGTTTTCTCTGCTTTTGCTTTTCTTTTCCGGAGTAAATCTTCCACTTTTTCTATATATTCTACTTTGAGTTCCTTTCTTCTCTTGTGTTTGTGAAGCTTTAAAGAAGAAGAGACTGAAGAAGCCTGTTTGTTTGTAAATTAGTGATTACTACTTGACTTTAAAAAAAATTTATTTCATTCTTTCCGCTTTAATATTACTGTCTTGTTCATAATATCATTTCACTGGTCCCCTTACAGCGTTCTTTATAATAATAATAACCAGGTTATGTTCTTGTTCCTTTTGCCTTCTTCCTCTCCTTTTTATTTTTTCGTATTATCTATGTTATATATATTATTGATATAATGTATAATGCAAAATAAAAAAAATGTTCTATTCACAAAGTCGTGTTGTTCTTCTTTGGATATATTCATATATGGTGTAGTTGTTGGTTAGTCTCTAACAGTTTGTTTGAATGTTTTGTTATCGAATTATAAGATGTTTCATGTTTAACTTGATGAATTCGATGAGTTAGTTCCGTGCACTTCAAGTTGAAAGGTTGGTTACTAGTAAGTGTTTCTGCTGTCAAAGAGAGATAGAGAGACGTCATTGGTGTTCGGTGCTCAATTAACTCGTATGGTTACTCGAATTTATGTTTTATAACTATAGACAAGAGTAGAGTGGTAACTAATATTATTGTCTAGATGTTGTTGTTGTTGCTGTTAGTCCATTTGTTCTTCGACTTTGACTGATTGTTCCAAGGAAATATGCTTAGTAGAGGTGGAGACTTTATGCTGCAACTGTACATATTTTTGGTGGACAAAATTTTTTACGTATTACTAAATTTATTTTATGAGTATAAGAATCTGAACTCTGGTTGCTCTTCATGTGTGAATAACTCATCTTTTGACGTTTGCGAAAGATTTCTATTGGGAAGGTACACAACAAGGAATGATATCTCGTTTTTAATAGAGATATGACTCGCTGCCTTAACCTACATCAGATGGATCCGAGGTGTGACTTTCTCTCTCTCCACTTACTTCAGCCTGAGCAACTAGGTAGTAACACCAGTCCTCACACAACTAGTGTTGCTCATAGCCCTGTGCTGGACAACTGAGTTGTAACCAACTCCATCGACAATTTGAGAGTAATTGCTGCTTAATTTTTAAGGCAATGCATAGATATGTTATTTTACATATTAGTTTAATTTAATACGTTCGTCGGTGGTTCAGCGGTAGAGTGCTGGCCTACCATGCATGTGGTCTGGGGTTCGAGTCCCCTCTGGTGCACACCTTTACCTCCCCTAGCCCTTTATAATCCCGACGAAGAGAGAATGTTGGGTGTGAAGCTAGCAACCCTACCCCGTGAAAAATACCGCTGACACTGAAACTTCAAAGCTTAAGCTTGAAGCCCTACATTCCATTGGGAACGCAAAGGAATAAAAAAAAAGGTTAATTTAATATAAGCATTTTGAGATAACATTGAAATTATTTTCAAGCCTCCATTTATATGCATCATTTAGAATGGATGGCATTAATATTTCCATTCAGGTGAGGAGTACTAAATATTCGAAGGTCGGTTAGTATGAAATGTTTCAAACACTGGATATTAGCTTCTGTGGACTTATAAGCACAAAATATGATTAATAAAGCCTATGCTAGAACCTTGAGTCATAATTTCTTATCTTATTGATAGAAGTTCAAAGGTAGTAGCGACGGAAGGATTGTCTCCAGTACTACCTAATTGGCCAGATATCCACGCCTTGTACTTAGTACTTAGGGCCTTCCGAGAACCTTATTTATCTTTCTTATTGATATACTGCTATTTACTTTTTAAAAAAAAATTTTATCATTTAAGCACGTTTTACTAAGATTTTCTATCGACTATGTTTTCTTCAAATATCTTAATGTTATCTGCAAAAGAGTTTCAACAATAATTCTACACATTTTTGCAGTATAGTAATTTTTGAATCGAGTGCTATGACAGTTTTAGCGGTGAAATTATTATTATTATTCAAGTATCGGTTATTATTGTTCCGAGGGGAACATAGGGCTTTAAAAGAACATCTGCACTTTGTCCTCTTTATCTGGTCCCACGATTACCTATAGTATCTCACCACCTCCTCATACGTTCTCCATGTCACCTTCAGACTCCCATTTCGTCGCATGCCACTCAGGTTCTACTCGAGTGTGTGTCCAATCCAACTCCATTTTCTTCAGAATATTTGTTGAGCAATAGGTTCTTGTTTCGTTCGTTTCCAGAGTTTCTTGTTGGTAATTCTTTCTGGCCGTTTCATATTGTGTTGCATAAATTCTTCACTTCTTATCTGTGCTACCTATCAACAGTCTTTATATTATACTGCGTAGCGTATTAACTGGTAAATTTCGCTTTATGCTGACTGGATGTAAGAGATAAGTAATTGTCTGAAACATGTTCTTGGTATTTCATTCTCTGAACTGATTGATTTGATTGAGAAGTTTTGATTGTTCTAAATAACATCCTCTTTAACTGTAAGTTTAAGATGAAATGAGCTGTTGAGATTCTCCATGTGCGTAATAACAATCATTCCTGATGAACTTAAACATGATTAGTTGTAGGTGAGGTTTTTCGTGTCCTTCTGTTCATCATATTGATCAAAATGGATGTCCTCTTCGTCTTTGCAACTACGTGCATAAACTAACAGTCATTATGATTATCCCTTTATATCAGTGCATGTGGAATAGTACAGACAAATGAAAAAGCACGGAGATACTAAGAATACTAGCGAATTCCTGAAAGCCCAGTGCTCATACAATTCCGAAATTAACTGATATAGATCAGATTTACTAACCAGTAAAAACAAGTCACGTGAACAAAAGATCGTATATCACACCAAAAAAATGACTAATACCAGTACGGGTGAACACGAGAATAAGAAAGACTCTGTCTACAATCAATTACATTCAAGGTCATTAGGAGCTACTGTTATCACATACACTGAGAATTAAAAAAAAGACCTCTTCATCTTGAAGTTAGCACTGAAGATATCTAGTTGGACGACAAAAGCTTCTCACTTGGACGCAACAATACCAAAATCATCCACCTGAGCTACAACTCCTCTCCACAGTTTTAAAACATATTCTTCAACTGAAATGGATGAATCAATGTGAAACTTGGGAACATAATAAGTAACTGATAGGTAAAACTATGAGGTGTTTTTTTTTAAAGTCTCTTCTTAGACTTCAACATTCAGTGGTGAGACTCAGTCATACACACTGTGTTAATACCGGCAAGTATTCTTCGCAGTGAAAGTGTGTGGACCATTTAAGCATTCGACAGTATATCACATACATATGGGTTGGAATTCTGGAACTACTCGATTGTATTGAATTATTGGTCCTTGAAGCAAGCCACATCATTCTGCATGCGTGCTACTTCTTAATGGAGCAAAACTTGACACTATTGGCACCAAGAGATGTGCCACATAAAACCTTATAGTTTGTACGAGGCCTTGGATACTGCCAGGATGCCCAGATCGAAGCAAGTGGTTGTCTTAAGGGACTACGCCCCCCCGGCGCCTTTGACTCAAAGTCTTATCCAGCGTCAGGAGCTGCGTTCCCATAGTTTGCGGTGACTAACCAAAACAGGTCCATACACCATTCAATCCTTTGGGATTCTGAAGCCCATGTACACCATAGGTTCAGAATCAGGGCTATCCAGCTCCTCTACGTGTAGAACAGCATGCCCATCAGTCCGTTTGTAAGCGCCAGGCGTTCACACTCGCCCTTTCACTTTTGCAAGGAACATCCGAGCCACACGATGGCAGTGAACAAGACTAAAGAATAGATTCAGTCATCAGTGTGCAAACTATATGAGTTCTTAAATAAATTGGATATTTTGTTTATCAGGAGGTTTACGTGATATAGTTGAATGAGTAAATATTTATTGAAGCCCGATACGGTTAACTGCTACAACTCATTTGAGGGTAGTTTTGAGACTCCATTGATCAACTGATCGAATTGGGATCTGATTCAATAGCCAGTTCATGAAT